TACTCAAGTTACCTACTCAAGTCCAAGTCCAAACGCATAATTAAATGTTCATAAAAATCTAAAAATAGAATCGAAGATAAAAACTGAGTAACAAGAATGATTATAAATTACTGTAGCTATATCCTAACTAATATTATAAATGCGAAAGTAAGTTTGTTTATTTGTTACTAAAATGCAATAGCTTATAACCTGAATTGAGATATAGATTACTTTTTATCCCGGAAAAAAATTAGGTTCCTGTGGTATTCTCAAAAAGTAAACCAGTTAACGCGGACGAAGTCGCGGACGGCGGCTAATATACTTAAAAAAATTGATTATTTTTACAAACCTATCAACCTAATTTCCCACCAAACTATTAATAATTTTGCAATAAAATTTAGTTTTGAATAGAGGAATATAGGTAGTTAGGGTTTGAAATTAATCGCCAAAGCATAAATAATAATAAGATATTCGTAGTGCAATGTAAATGTTTCCATTGCCATGGTCATGACAATGACTGAGATAAATAAGTATTACGAATTTATGATCAAGTTTTCCGTGGCACCTTTATGACTTTCACTCATTCTGGTTTCATCGCCAAAATGCAAAATAATAGGCATGTAAAAACTTGAATAGTTTATTTGAAATGGACGGCGCAGGTGTAGCATCATTTCAATATAAACAATACTTACCTATTTGAACAGTTAAACAAATACTTTTTTAAATTGAATTAAAAAGGATTTCAAGGTACCTCAAACGGAAAAAGGGGGCCCTTAAAGGATCACTGTTGTCTGTCTGTCTATCAAGACCCTTTATCTCTGGAACACCATATACATACACAGGTCTACGGTCCCTTGAAACTGTGAGAAATTAAACTTCTAAGTTAACGTAAAAGAAGTTGCGAAGATACCTACAAATTTGTACGGAACCCTCGGTGGGCAAGTCCGACTCGCACTTGTCCGGTTTTTTAATAGGGACTGTTAATAAGTTTTTTTTATGTATGTGCGTTTATAAAGCACCTACGACTTTATAAAATCATATTTAATTTCGTAATTCGAATATTTCGACATGGGTATAGATAAAATACATTATGCGTGCCACATCATGCACCCGTAGATACTAGATACATGATCCGACATGCTGCATTCCGTTGGTGGAAAACAGTGTGCTGCACTGCTACGTAGAGCTTGAAGATCGCTGACCGTCCGCAATCGCAAAAGAGCATTCAGTTGAGCACAAGTGACCCCTGCCCCTTCGGCCGTCCAGCGACCAACTCCACGCCCTCCAACTGGGTTTCTCTAGTCGAACAGCCCTGGAACCTTACTCAAACAGAAACAGCTATCTGCGCGTCTGGACTTTACATAAGATCATGTGAGGTAGAGTCATTCGCCAACCTAACAATAAAAAAAAAAGACACAACGCCACCATTTTACTGTGGTGTTCGGTAAGGTGTACCTTTCATACACACACTGGTGCTTCAATTAGAACGAAAAACCCGCTTTGTCCAACTAGCTACTCATAAACTTTAGTTTAGAACTCTCCATCATAATATACATAACAATATCACCCATCATCCATGAGATACTCAGCAGAGCGGAACTCATAAATTGCTAAACACAGGATGTTTGTTTTGACTTTATCATGAAAATTGCAATCTCATATAATTTATCATGTCGCTGTGTTATACGTAAGTAAGTATTTTAATATATATATATTTACAATCATTTATGGTACCCAGTTTTACACTCTTTAAACTTATTTCACAATGTTTACACTCGTGTTTTTATTGTGTTATCATTATCACGGTTCAACGATTTAGCCTTGAAAACATTACAGCTACTTACTTTCACGTGTTTGTTCCTACAAACAGAGTATAGGTACTTTATTATTATATTAAAATAATATTATATAACAAAAAATATTATTCGATAGGCTCAATATCAAAAATTCAATATCGTTTATTCAGTCTAGGCTGTTCAAGCACTTGTGAATGTCGAAAAGCTTCGCCATCGCAGGGAGACCTTGTACTGAGAAGAACCGACAAGAAACTCAGCAAGGGCTGTTTTTCTCTCCCTGCATTATATACAGAGTCCTCAAATTGAAAAATGACTTCAATATGAGATAACTCATGAAGTCACTTTCCATTACAAATGTAAATGATATAACAATTATGACTATAAAATAAAAAAATATAAAAAAGTTATTTAAAAAAAGTTTAGGAATGCCGTGTCCTACTGTTTAGGCATAAAAACAAATGTACGATTAAAGTTAAATACAACGATTAGTAGTACCCAATAAAGCAAGAGCAGACACATCTCCGCTGGCAGCAACCGTTCACGAGCATGACGCATGAACCAGCCATCGCTTCGCTCAACCATTTTTTAGGGAACGTAACGACCCGCCTCACACGACACCGCCGAAGAGATTTTTAAGAGAGCGTGACTACTCATAACCACATATGGATACTAGATTGCAAAATAGGAAAAAATAATAATTACCCAGTGTACAATAATAATAAAAAACTATAAACACAACTATAGGACACATGCATGTGATTACCTAAACACTAGTATCCACTCTGCCACTACTCTCCAAACCCAAAACCGAACCCAACATCAGTTGCCCTCTTTCACTCTGTATAGAGAATGACAAAGATACACTGCTGCAAAACCAAAATTCAGGTCTAGAGAACCATGCCAGAATCCACACCACCATTAAATCTTTATCTGAGAAATAATAAATGTTCACCTTAATTTTGCTAACCTTATTAAGGCCATTCATCACATTAGGTAGACTAAACACAAACTACAGACATGGACCGTCGTATAGCTCAAGCCTTGGTAGCCATTGCTGCGAATAACCGTATACTCCGTGGAAGGCTGTCTATTAGAGTTAAGGCAAGTGTTCCAGCAATACGTCTTGCCGGTGTTCACGTATGGGAGTGAGACCGCCGTTGCCAAACATAAGTGGAGATGGGCGGGACACATAGATTTGATAGACGAAGAAAGGTGGACTAGGCGTTTGTTGGAGTTGCGGTCCAACGATAGGTATTAAATATCGTTGTGGCGGTCCCGTAATAACAGCAGATCTCGTGGACGCCCACCTCAGAGATGAGTAGATGATATCAGAAGATATGTAGGTCAAAACTGGATGCTTAAGGCACAAAACCGAAGAACATGGAGGGAACCTAAGTAACAGTTACAAACTGCCAAAAAAACTAATTTAATGTTTTTCATTTATGTGTTGTCACATACTGTTGTTATCGCAAAGAAAGTGACAGCATCAACATGAGTCAAACTTATCTGAGTGCAGTCATAATTGTATGGTTAACTAATTTTAAACAGTAATAATATTTTTTTATCTTGTTTTATGCATTTACCTGTTGGATGTTTAAATCTAAAAAAACAATTTACTAGAATACTTTACTCCAATAGCTTCTATTCAAACAACTGACGATTTAGTGACGACCAAAAATCATGGCTGTTTGTTGAAATTTTTTTTCTGCCCTATTCGTTCGTTTCTACATAGAAAGCTAAGGGGGCCAATTCCCTAACGGAATTACTATGGTTATCGCTATCTTTTACGATTTCATTTTGTTATTTCTGACCGCCTAAAGGTTTCAAATCCCTCATTTTTTTAAATTCTTTTACATTGGTAATAACAATATTAAAGAAAATGAGCGTGGGGTATGGTGAGAGTGTTTCTCAAGGTGCAAAATTGTCCCCCTTATGTTATTCGGCCGTGCTCGAGTAAATTCAAAAATCCCGCTTGGGCTTCCCTGTTATAAAGGAAAGTAAGTTGTTTTCACGAAGGTAACTAACGCAATTTTTAAGTATCGGCAAGCTAAAATTTGCAGAGAGTGACGATTTAACCGAATTTTCAAGTGAAAACTTATGCTCTTGCTTTTGAAACATGTTTCCGGCCACTGTTTTGGTTTTTCTTATTTATTTAAAAGTAAAGGAAAGTAATCAAATAGTTCTTGAAAATAGGGCTAAATACCCACGTGAAAACAACTTGACTACTTTCCTTTGCTTCTAAATAAATGAGAAAATTATTATTATTAATACTTTATTACTCCATATCAGTTACATTTCCAATATGGGTTAGTATATTAGTATACAAATTGTATATAAAATTAACAATCAATTACTATTTGCCTATCACTAAGTTTTCTTAGTATTTCCTGATATGGATCCTTTTAAGGTAAAAGCCTCCTCCATCTGTTTCCATTTGTTTTATTCTTGGCATGTTCCATCCAGTTTTTTCCTGCATGTTGTCTGCCCATATTTTCTTCTTCCTGCCTACGTATATTTTTCCAATCTTTTATATTTGTATCTTGCGAAATGTCCAGCTCATCCATTTCAGATTTATTTTCTTTCTTATTGCTTCCATTCTTATTATTCTTATTCTTTTGTATTTTCCTCATTCTACTTCTCTTCATTGCATTCTGGCATTTTGTTTTGTTTGTTTGGCAGAAATCCATGATTATCTATTTCAGTTTTAAGTTATACTTTCGTTTTAAGCTTTCTTTTTGGGCCTTTCCATGTTAAGTTGATTCTTCTGTCTACTTCCATGTCATGATTGTTTCAAAGAGAGCATTTTTCCTAAATACACATACTCATCAACATATTCTATTGTTTCTGTTTCTATCCTAATAGGGCTGTTTAAGTTGTTAGACATAATCTTTGATTTTGCTTGCTTTCTTTTGAAGTCCTACTTCTTTGCTTTCTATATTCAAAGTTCTGAGCTTGAGTTGTGTTTAGTTCAGTGACATTTTTACTGAAAACGCTTTGTCGTCATAGTGTATAATAATAATAAAAAAGAGAAAAACCAAAACAGATGCAAGAAATAAATGTTTCATGACAGTCCCGCTGTTGGATGTGTCTGCTACAATCTCTGCTAGTTTCAGAATCGTTTTTAGGTATACTCTTAGACAGAAAAACCTTAATATTATTCAAATTTGAAAAGGAAAAAAATTGGCCATGTAGTGACCCCTGGTAAACATTAACAATTGTACAAACCTGTGTGCAACATTTCGTCAACATTTCTATGTGAATTTACTAAGGAGTTTTGTTCCTGCGCTAGGTAATCCACTGTTATAGCAGTGTGATCATGGCCAAACCGTCGACTCAAAAGTTGCTCTCTATCTGCCCGCTCTTGCTCCCTTCTTTGCCTTTTGTTTTGAGCATTTGTTAGAGAGGCCTGTTGAATATAGATACAACTTGCATTACTATTTAATAACCAATTTATTATATGGTAACAAATTATTCTACATGTTTCTGTTTTATCTCTTCTTGGTGGAAAAAACATGCTATGCTCCAGCTGCTTATAGTTTTGAAAAATGTATAATGTTAACAACCTCTTAAATTTTGTTCCTGGGCAATAATGTTATGTTATAAACCCCCACAGAAATTGGTGTCTTGCACACAGAAACTACATAGTCTAGAACTGCCAGAATTTATACACCTACATGACTGATTTTTATACTGTAAGACCTCATAAAACTATGTAATAACAGCCATTTTCTTAATGTTAAAAGGGTGGTAGACAAGCTTATTGCCTGCCTGATGGTAAGTGACTACCATAACCTATACATGCTTGCGATTTAAAATATATTACTCACTCCCTTGCCTACCCTGTCCCCATCCCCTTCCCCATGGTGCCATGTCATATATGCCTTGCTACGTCAGCAGAATATGTAACACCCCTTAGTGACTCTAGATTCAGCAATGGATGAAGGTGTGGTCGGGAAACCATAATGCTGTAAGGCACCTAGTAAAAATACCTTAACCTCTACTTTCGAAATAAGCTTTGATTATTTTTCAATGCTTTTACTCTAAATTTTACTGGGATTATTTTTATTCAGTCAACAGAATTTGTGGTCTACAAGTTTAAGAGAAAAGTAATTTTATGTCTTGTATTTTGAGCTCTATTTTTTGTGCAATAATGGCAAATTCTGCTTTAATGTTAAGGTGCTATGTTACGTAAACATTGACATGGATTGACTCTGGAAATACCTTCAACAGATGTATTTAGATGTTTTTAAAGCATTGTAATATACATGAGATGGGTAATAAAATCTGTATCACAGAACCTAACCAGAATAAAATGCAAATAGGTTTTCAAGCATAACCAACCTGTATATGTTTATTGTCGTATTTCAATTGGTCCACTCTCATCTTAGCCATTGGTCTTTGATTAATGGGAGTCTTAAATACAAATATGTCTAATTTCTCGCAATTCCTGTAAATTCAGAAAAATTATTATCACATTAAGTAAGGTAGTAAATAATTGATGCCCATTTTATTTTAAGTAAAGGTTTGTAATTAATATACTTAATATTTATTCTCAGAATACAGAAAGACTGTATTCTGAGTATTTAGTAAAGAAAACATACGCGGTAATTGCATTAATTTTTGACTGAATATCATCTTCTATTTTATCATTGTTTGCTGGATCTTTCTCTAGCTTGAGGAACAAGTCTGAAGCTTCTTGTACTAGTTGATTTGTTTGATGATATAAAGTTTCCATTTTAAAATAATAAAAGGTAAATAGGATATGAATTTCGAAGAACTTCTTATCAATAAAGTTTATTTTTCCACGATTTTTTAGTAAATTCTCTTCTGTCACGGTCACGCAGGAGTGTCATTTTGACGTGGCATGTGAGCAGTGTTGCCGTCTTGGTTTTTGAAAAGGGGCAGTCGAACAAGCAATTAGAGTTAGATTTAGCAAATAATAGACTAGTTGACCCATTTTGAAAAAAGGTTTAAAATGGTTAATAAATGTTCTATTAGACCGAAAAAAGATGTATTCTATTTTTTGAGACCTAAAAAGCTACAAATCTTTAATTTTAAAATAGATTTTTCATGGACATACAAAAACGCTGTCGGCCATTTTAGTCTATAGATTATCTATGCTATGACGTAAACTGCAGTAAACAAAAACTCGTAAGCACGTAGAAAATAACTTAACTGACTTTATAATAAAAAAAAACATGATTTCTAATAAATACCACGAAAAATAAAGTAAATAACATTATTGTATTGTACGAGAATACAAAAAGCACATCCTTGAAGACTCCAGGAAAGTTGTGGATTAAAGTGCCGAAAGAAATTAACCTACGCAACTTTATTACACTTATTCATATGTTGTATCAGTTTTATGTTTATTACTACATTGTAATACTAAATACACTGTACTTACATAGATGCCTTGTCGTTTCTCTCTTCAGAAATCGGGGTTTAGTGCAATAAATTCACAAACCATCAATGCATCAATTCTTGGCAGATTTGTGCTTTCTGTTTTCACAAAGCCGGCATCCATAAATAGTTTTTTCAAAAAAAAAAAACAGTAAACGGAAACTTTTCTAAAGTTAAAAGTGTTTTAAAATAAATTAAGTCAGACGAAAGAATGACATTTAGTTGTGTTTGCCATAAGAGACGTCACAATCATGGCGGATGTGGCGAACAGCGTTTTTAGTGTTTAAAAAATATACTAAAATTTTTTTTTTAAATTAAATTTCTACAGCAATCTTCTTCTTTTATGAAGTGAAATCGATATATTTAGGTTCCTTAGACCAAATACTTTAAGAAATAAACATTTTTATTTAATACAATTCGACATGAGTCAACTAGCCTATTGCATTTGGTCCATTTTCTTAATTGGTTTCCGTGACTGTCCACGATAGAAATTTTTTATTGTCTTTTTCGTAACTGGCTATGAAATAAGTTCTATTTTCATAAAACTGTTTAAGTGCTTGTTTATAAATCGAGAAATAAAACTACTTATTATTCATTAAATAACTACTAACATGAAATTGTTATTGACATTTTCTTAACTAGTTAATAAATAACTGTTTTCTATAATTTTCTTAGTTCTTTATCTTTACCAATTGGAAAATAAATCCTAATTCATAACCAGTAAGGAAAAAATAAATAAAAAACTTTAACTGCATTAACCCGTAAAAACTAGTTTTATTTAATGAGTGATGTGCGTGAAAACCTAAGAAACAAATAAAAAACTTTTCTTGATGGTTGAGAAAAACGGTTAATAAAATGTACTAAAGAAATACTTTTGTAATCAAAAGAGGTGCTACAAGTGCCAAAACTTAATACAAAACGTTAAAAAAATATTATTTGAAACGTATTAAGTAAAGTTATCTCAATAGTGCTTACAGTAATTAAATTGTCAGAGTCTTCATCGGAATCTTCTGAAATAGAGTCTACCTATGTATAATCAGCAGGTGGCATCAACTTTATTTTGCAGAAAATCATTTGGCACTCACTCCTTTAGCAAGAATTTAAACCCCTAATTTTGTAACTCAGAATCAGCTTTAGGCATCCAAAAATGTCTAAAAAGCAGAACCATCATATCGCAGAAAATAATCACAGTCAGAATCGTATTTTGGCATACAATTATTTCTTTTCTGGTTTTATTTATATACAGGGTGTTTCTTCTAGGGTGTCAAGCCAGTGCGAGCTGATAGCGGAGTACCATTCCAATCAATTTAACCCCCATGTATGTTCTAAGACTTTTCGTAGTTTGCGAGTTAGATATTTTTTGTCATTTTTTACGATTCAACGTTGAGACAACTTGGAAAAAGTATAAGTTTTTTGGGTGGACTTTTCTTCGATATTTTTTTTAACAGAATTCCTATTGTTTGTAGTTTTATAAGTAATATAATCTACTTCCTTACTTTAACCTAAGATATAAAATTTTTCGATACTAAATAAAAATGGATTAAGTAAAACAGAATGGATTTTCAACTAAAATAAAAAAAAAATAGATGTTCCATAATTTCTGACTCATTTCAAAAACTGCCCGACTTCATAAGCTTTCATAAAATACAAAAAAAAATATATACTTAATTGGACATTATTTGCTGAAATCTGACGTTGAAGGTGTTGTATCGGAAATCGTGTGATTTGAATAGTCTCATCGTTGACTCGTAAAAAATGAGAAAAAAAAATCTAACTCGTAAACTACGAAAAATCGTAGAACATACATGGGGGTTAAAATGATACGTATGGTACTCTGCTATCAGCTCGCACTGGCTTGACACCCTAAAAGAAACCTGTATATCAGTTTGCTGGCTCTCGCTGGCCGCTGCCAGGACATGCTCACTTCGCTCACTCGGCTCGCACTAAATTGAGGTCACCACACTAACCTAGTTAACGCAATAACCGCCAACACCGATTATGCTTAAATGCATTAAATTATGCGCAATCTCCAAAGGTAATTGTGACTTCGGACTGATAAGCATTCAGCCAAACTTTAATTATAAACCGTGAATTTTGAATAGCCTGAGAAACTTTAGCAGCTATTCGACAACAACTGAGATTATCATTGAGCGAAAAAAAATTAAAAAAAATGTCTCTATGTTAACTCACTATTTCTGCAATTATGAAACCTTAAGCAATTTAATTGTTATAAATTGATTTAAATAGAACTACTTTTAGGATCTCTATATTTTAAACTGATAATAATGCCATATCCTAGTACCTACACTATGTTGTGCCGTTTAGCGATATTTTGTAAACGATATAAATCAATATTTTTGTATGGGGGTGAAGTTTACTGTTTATATCTGTTCGTACTGTGTTTATTTACACGATTATTCAGTTTCTCGAGAAACTCAAAATTACGGTGTATTTACAAAAAATATGCCTTACTAATATTCGTTTATAGAAAATTAGATAGAATGATAGAAATTAATTTTTGAAGCAACGAGATTGTGCCAGATATTCTGAACTCTTCAAAATCATATCATTCATATCGGCCGAAACAAAAGAAGTTGATGGCAGATGGCTGATTGATATCTGTAGCCAATTTGATCAAGTATTCCAAATTACTCTCACACTTTCTTTTATAACTTTGAATAACGGTGCAAAGTTCACTTGAAAAAGTGCTATATTGCTCTTATCGGGCTAAAGCATAAAAAAATAGTGTGCATGGACCACATCCTGTTCGAGTTTACATACAGTAAAAAGTGCTAGATCTAACCCGAAAGGGGCTAAGGTGGCAACACTGCATATGAGTTCGTTTTACATTCGGTTACAACAATAATTTATCACGTAGCTATGAAATTACAAAATAATAATATTATTTTAGAATAAGGTATGTTAGATTTTCTGAACATTTTCAGATGTAGGGTGGATGTAGGTAACATAGATGTATGATTTATTACTTTATTTGAAATTCTCAGTTATTAGAATTTAAAATATTTAATTTTAGGTAGTCTGTGGGCTCGACGTGCCACACAGTATTGCCAGATGTATGGTAATAAGCGTATTTGTACGGTTTCATGCTGAGAGGTAGTCAATTAACGACCTACTTCCAGTAATTTAAGACAAAAATTTAAAAAAATCTAAATAGAGTATGATCTGATAACTTAAAACGTTCAATAAATCCGTGTATCGTTTGCATCTTACGTCTTTTCTGTGGGTTTCATGACTAAATAAATTCCTAGTACGCTTTCTTATCTATGGTCGATGTTCAACTCAAGAAGTATTTTTTAGTATAATGCGATTCAAATACGAATAGGAAAACCAATGACCTCCATCTGTCAAATGTCGCTTGAAAAGTACGGTTTGCAAAAAAATCTTGGAATCCTTTTAAGCACCCAGCTAATTCTAGAATAAAAACCAAACATTTGTAAACAAACAATAACAAATATTGATAATTAATATCGGTTGATATTTTTTTTTCATTTATTGAGCTTTGGCTATGACTGGTTGATAACCTAAAACCTAAATCGTCAACCAAATGTTACTTTAAGTTGAGTTCATAAACTTGATTTAAAACTTTAGTTTACATACAAGATGCATGTTCGTATGTGACCGTACTACCGATACGTACGTACCGATCGTACTAGTAATAGTGCATGAGTATTCATTCATAACTACTCCTGCGGTAATGCAGAGTTGAGCGGAATTGAAGAGCTAGATTCTGATTAATGTTTTTTTATCACACAGTCTTATTAAATAAATATAATTAAAAATTGACTTTTTTTCTCACTTAATCTTAGTTAATAAGTTTTATTAAATAAAAACTTTTTTTGCTCACCTACCTATTTGTTTTGAATTGACAGCTATGACATCACAATATGGCGCCCAGTCGGTCCTATTCTTAGTTGAATCGCATTATAGTATAGTAATAACTTTTAATTAATTAATTCACCGTAATTCTAGCAGTACGGAGTGGCAACACTGGTGACGCATACATAAAAAAAACAAAACTTTCGTTTTGTAATTTCGTCGGGAATTCGTTCAAAGTTAACGAAATTTAGTGGTTTTTCAGTGTTGGTGTTACGAAACAGTGTTCTGGATAATCATGGGTGCATCCTGCCAGGCTTGCCTCACGAGAGTGCCCCATGCAACTCTCATTGCAACTATAATGTGTTGTTTGGGCGTGGGGGTTTTCTGTGGCACAATGTATAGAGGATCTGCCCTTTCCATACGGATGTTTGACGAAGTATTTCACTTTAGATTAATATGGATCGAAGCACTGCAAATGATATTTATCGTTGGAAGCGCGTGTATGGCAGCTTTGGGATTCATGCTGCTCTGTTTAGGTTGCTTAACAACAGGTGCAACAAGACAAAAAGTTTACAGAGCTTGGAGAGCCCGAGTTGGTGGAAGAATATCTTGCGCTATATTTATGATAATAACGTATATACTAACATTCATATGGATAATATTGCTTGGATTTTTAGTCATAACGACTTTTCTTTTTACAATATTCTGGAAGTTGTGCTCTAAACCCAACAATATTGAGCACTTGACTTGCATTGATTTTACACAATTCGATTTTATGTTTCCCGCATCTGTTCGGCAAGAGGACATGAAAATATGTGAAGGCCAACGAATGAAATTGTTTTGCAAGGACTATGTTGAAAAAGCTGAGTTCATGTTCATATTGGCTATGGTATCTTGCATACTTGTGATACTGAGCTTGGTTCATTATTTGATGTGCCTGTCCGCAAACTATGCACACATAAGGGATCATGAGAAATTCCAAGAACTACAAGAACTTCAGTACCTCACCAACCCTGATTTGCACGCTTCGAAAGACCGTTTCTAGTATATGGCCCGTGCGCCTCTACTGCGCTCGCTTGAGGCCACAACTAAAATGTGACCAGATTAAATTTACTGCACTGTTTTACTGACCAAAAAAAAGGTGTTCACAAAACATTTTTATGAAAGACTGATGCCCAGTGATTGGGTATATTTCGATTATAGTTTGTAAATGGGTCATCAATACATATCTGTAGGTTCTTAATATGATGATTGTTGAGAGTAGCTACAGACACACAAACACAATTAAGATGTAGCATATTAAGGTACCTATGTATGTTATTAAGCCATATTTAACATGCATTTTTATATCCACCTAATTTAAATCTAAGTATGTGTATGGCAGAATCACAAAAACTGAATGTTAATATGATGAATAGAATTTCTTTCAAAAAATCAAAACATTTAACATTCCTCTAGACAATTTTATAGACAGCTCAGTTATTTTTAATTGGTGCTTATAAATTATTTAAAACTTATGTAGTAGTGAATATTATTATGACTGTTTCTTAATCCATTTATTCTGTTTAATGTTGATATATTTTGTTGACTTATTAGTATACAAAAGTTTGTATCAATTTAACCTATAAGGGCTTTGGCATATAATTTGTAAGAATTATGGAATATGTCAATTTTATAAATATATAATTAAAGTAAGAGCAGTTTTAGGCCAGATACTAAATTGAAAGATGAGAGATTATGTGGAAAGCATAAAGCTGAATTTCATGAAGGAACTAAGTTTTAAAAATAATTAGCTGGTATTGATGAAGATGATAGCAAAAAAAATATAGGCTGGCGGACATACCTATTAAAACACAAATTATGTGTCTTATCTTAAGTGAATACACTATTATGTGATTGATGTTCAAATTTATAGTACATTAACAGTATGATATAAGCTCTTTTTATTTTATAAACCTCACTATTCTTTATTACCAATTTATCTAGGTCTTGTAAAAAGTAAGTAATATTAAGATTTCTATACTAAAGTAAGCAAAAAATGTAATATTTTACATGTATAGTCTAATTTAAGGGTAGGGGTGCTTTCAATTTATGTGTTTCTTGACGGCCTGCTGCGGTGCCGAAGCACCGCGCGTTTTGTGTGAAAAAAAAGGATCGTCCGTACACTGTATGACAAACGCACCGCTTCGGCACCGCAGCAGGCCGTCACGAAACGCATAAATTGAAAGTGCCCTAAGTATGTATTTACTGCACATTGGCAATTAAACTATTCAACAAGTAATGTTCTCCTACATCCACAGCAAGGACAGTTGTATTTAATAATTTTATATTTTGCACACTCAGCTATATGTTGATTAAGTATATAAGGACTGAAATGTATTAAATAGAATAAGTTTTGTATTAATAAATGTTCATTTTTGAAATAAATTTGCAATTACTATTGTTTTTATATTTATGAGTTCTTTATTATGACATACTCTGAAGACAATGAGTGAATGAAACATTATTAAAAAAAACTTTTAGGAACAATCGCAGAAATATAAATTAAAATTTGATGATAATTTTAATTTTCTTATTATTGCCTCATTTATAATTTTATTTTTAAATTTTAAAAGTGCAATTAAAGTCGCAAGTAATTAAAATCGTATCCCAAATTACAGCTTTATAATAAATTATTAAGTAGTTCCGCTGTGGTCTACATTTTTATTTCCATATAGCCAAATGACGCTGTTATAGAGTAAATAGATAAATAATAAGAATATTACAAATCTAAACTATTATTACTATAGAGCCTAAATTTAGGAAAAATTCACTCGTTTTCTCCAGGATCCTAATATCAGATCCTGCCTATGAATATGGGACTACATCGTGAGCATAACTTTAAAAAAACAATATTATTAGAATCTCATAGATCATAGAATAGCTTCTCGAACTACACAAGAGCTTGTAAAAGCCTAGACTGAATAAACGGTTCAAGTACATAGCGGGCAACGCGCAATGTGGGGTTTCCGTACTTGCCTTAGATTAAATAAAAATTCCAGGCACAAATATCCAAACTTAAAGGTAAATTTTTCAGGGCTTATGGCCTCCGTACCAAGCCAAGCTGTGTACGGACGGACTGATGGCAATAGCGAAATTATTAGTTCCTTGTACTTGGAACCCTTAAAAAAGAACTTAATTCAAAGGACAATTATGCAGGGTGGTCCAATTAGTGACGTCAAAAAATTTTTTTTAGATTCCTCGTACCTGTGGGTATCCTAAAATACCCTATGTTTGTTCCGCTATTTTTCTTATTTTTCGAGTTATATTTTTTTGTGTGTATTTTTAATGCTTTCTGCCAGCGTGGTTTAAAATATTCATCTTCAACAATTACTGTAAAATGTCTATTTATTACAGTAAATTTTAAAACATAACTTTTTAAGACGTTGTCAATTGTATTTTTGGGTCGGAGGAAGGAGTTTTGGAAATTTACTGTAATAAATAGACATTTTACAGTAACTTGTGCTTTTTATTTGTTATCAAAAACAGGTAATTTCCCAACTAGTTAGCCATTTTGTTTTTATTCTTGCTCACATTTAAAATCTTAGTAGTGAAACCGAAATTATTATAAAATTACACATGCTAAAGTTATTTTTCAGAAATTTCAATAAAATTTAATTTGAAATTACATAATTACATTTTTAAGTTTTATTAACCATACCAATGATAAGAAGTAGATAAAATATTTTTTAGTGCTTTAATCGTGTTTCAAAGTGTTTCAATGATTTTTAGCCTATCCGCCTTCGAAGACCAATAAAAACAAAAATAGGCTGATTAGGTAATATTTCTTTTAATGATTTTTGGTAGTTTAGAAGCTTGCGGAATTTTTAAACTTACTCTAGCCAGAAGCTATGGAAACTCCATTTTTGTATTTTTAAATTCAAGTTGAATGTTTGAGTAAATCCTACTAAAAATTAAAGTTCCAACTTTCAAGCCTTTTTTGAGTAACTTTAAGTAATTTCAAAAAGCTGAGTTATTTTTTTTATTAAGAGACTGCAATATACCTGCTACGAAAAAAAAAATGTGAATTTTTGAAACCTCGCTGGCAGAAATCATTAAAAATACACAAAAGAAATATACCTCGAAATCTAAGAAAAATCGCGGAACATATATAGGGTATTTTCGGATACCTCCAGGTGCGAGGAATCTGAAAAAAATTGTTGACGTCACTAATTAGACCAATCCAATATTTAGCTATTAGTGGAGATTTGCTGCAGTGAATATATTTTATGGTTGCAATGGAATTTCGTTTTTTATACTTTAAATTGCAATGTTTACCATTTTTTTTCTGTGCTTTTAATTTTTTTATTATTTAATAAAAGAAAATATTTGAGTTTATAAATTCGAATTAAATAATGGTTTTCTTAAGTATACATTAAATTTTACCTAAATTCAAAGTAGGTACCTGAGCGTACCGAAGGCTGTAGGGGGCCATTCGTCTAACGGTATTGCTTTGGAAAACGCTAACGCTTACGATTTCATTTTGTTATTTCTAGCCGCCTGTGGATTTCAAATGCCTCGCGCTCTTTTTTTTTTCTTTTGCATTGGTTTGCAACAATATTAAGAAAAATGAGCGTGAGGTATTTGAAAACCTTCGGCGGTCAGAAATTACAAAATAAAATCGAAAACGTTAGCGTTTTCCTAAGCATTTCCGTTAGGCGAATGGCCTCCAGGTAGTAAAAAATATTGGAGGGCAGTACTTATTATCTAAGAGTAAAAATTGTACGAAAATATTTCGTATATTTCTGTCGGATGTTTATTAATAATAATCAAGTCGTTTATTTTTGAATCACAAACACTTGCATCAATATTTTAAAATCTAATTATATTAATGTTTGTGTGAGACTGATGGCCGTACTAGGTAAGGGGCTTTAATTTATTACGTAAGGAGATTTAGGGGGAGAGGGGGGTTGACCATGTCTTATTTTTTCTTACACGGGGGAGTGGGAGGGTGTCTTAATAGTTCTTACGTAAGATCACAAAAGTGCGCAAAGTAGAGATTATACTTTAATAAAGGAATTTATTACTACCAAAATAATAAAAATGACTAGCACCTTTGTAGATAAAAATAAATATATTTGTTTCTTAGGTTTCCACGCACATCACTCATTAAATAAAACTAGTTTAAACGGGATAATGCACGAAACTTTATTTATTTATTGACGTTTCACGACTGACGACGAAGCCTGGAAAGGCTACGAAACGTCAATAAATAAATAAAGTTTCGTGCATTATCCCGTTTAAACTAGTTTTATTTAATGAGTGATGTGCGTGAAAACCTAAGAAAAAAAAAATAGTCCTAAAATTGGTACTTTGAAAATAAACCGTAGAACAGATCAAACGTGTAGGTATTCATTTATACCATAAGATTCTTACGTAATAAATATGAAACGGTGGGGTGGCTTTTGGACTATTTTTTCTTACGTAGGTGGGAAATACGTCGTAAACTTTTATATACTTATAAATATATATATTAGTAGCTATATATTCGATTTTGAATTTTTAGATTTCATTCAATGCTGCTTACATTCGAGGTTTTCATGTTTTGACGCCCCGGGAGCTACACTATATAGTGTAGCTCCCGGGCTAATTGTCATTGAGAAGTTCTATTGTTTATTAAAAAGTACTCGTCTGATCTACGCCAAATGTGTATGAGACGATCTTGAAAGAAAAGAAATTCAGATAAAAAAAGTAACATAGAAATAAGTCCATATCCGTTGATATCAAATCACGAAGATATGCGTGAACAACAAAAAAATGGGTGCGTGTACTTATGTAGGCGCGTGAGAAGTTATCCTTCTTTGGCATCGTTTAAAATTAGTTTTTAATTGCATGCAAATAATTAATTACAATAAATTAATAAAAAGTCTGGAAAAGGACACAGTCAATAAAGTTCAGTTTTAATTTGAAAAAATAAATAAATAATCAAAATATTGAATTAAAATCGCTACTGAATATAATTTATTAGAACATATGTGATTTGCACTTGTATGAAACTCAAACACG